CTGGTCTAGAATAGAATACATACATATCCCACTAGACAAAGGTGACCAGCAACGTCAAAGACGTAAAGGAAGTGGCACAAAAAAAAGGGGGGGTTGGGGAGGGAGGGCAGGTGTAACATAACAGCTCATCATGAGAATATCAAGCTCAACCAAATAGAACTGCAGAAACCAAGAGAGAAGCCCACAGGTTGTGCACATCCACATGGGTAATACATGTGAAAACTTAATGCACTTAAAGTTGAAGAATCAAGAGTCAACTATCTCAGAGGAGGAGGAGGAGGAGGAGGAGGAGGAGGAGGAGGAGGAGGAGGAGGAGGAGGAGGAGGAGGAGGAGGAGAAGAAGAAGGAGAAGAAGAATCAACTCATTAAAAAAAAACCTCACCATGCGTCTCCAGCATCTCACGCGAGTCAAGCATGCGCCTGTGTGTGTGCGGGTTGTGATGGTGATGTGTATCAAAAACATCCTCCCCGTCCATGCCCTCCAGCACCACGGTGACAGAGTCACTGTCCATCCCCTCCATGTAGTGGGGAGGGGGAGGGGCCAGGTGGTGGTAGCTCTTGTTGCCAGGAGGAGCCACAGTTTGGTTCAGGGGAACTGGGGAGAAAGGAACAAAGGGATACACATTTGAATGATTCGTTTTGTTTGAGTAAAGAAAAGCACATTGACACAATAATGATCATTCAGTACTAGGAAAAATACAGACAGTCGGTGGCACTCTCCAATCACAGGTGCACTCATTCAGTTCAGGAAAAGAGCAGGACAGACAGACAGAACCAACAGAGGGGTAGTAAAGATGTAGGACCTACCAGTGGCACCCTGTAACCACCCATAAATTTGAACGAGAACGACAATGAGAATGCCTGCCCACTTGAGGGTCTGCTGTTATGTTTCTGTTCTACTTGACCCTCTACCACTGGACCTTTTTGACTTCTGTTCCACCTGATCGTCTACTAGTCTAATACAATCCACACAACTAAACATATAATTAAAACCAGCGCATCAGAGTGTGGGAGCAGTAATACAAATTCAGTACCGTCCTAATTTATGCAATCTATGCAACGGAAATCACCAAACAGCCGCAATTAAAACCTACCAAAAAAAAGACACAGGTAATATATTATTCACTTTTTAAGGCTTCAAATTCACCTGTTTAGCGATTTCTCAAGCGATCTAACCTCAAGCAGTTTC